TGGGCGGGAGAGGGGATTCTCATTAGCTGATTTCAAGTCTGGAAAATCAGTGACTTTATTACATCGGGGGCATTATTTTTTAATGCATAATCCATTAAGTCAACTTCATAACCTTTATTTTTTATGGGTAAGATGGTGGGGCTGTGGGGTTTTTTTTTTTTGGTGGTAACCAAGGAACAGCTAGTTAATTAGCATAACTAGGGCTAAAACCTAAGGAATATGACTAACGGGGCAAGAATCCAAATCAATCTCAAAACTCAAAGCGTTCTAAACAGGCATCATCTGCACTTTTTGTGGAGTCCTAGAAATTGTTTTATGCCAACACACTCAATCATTTATAACATTTTCAGTTTTGAAGGACTGGCTGGGCAGTTCAGCCAGGCAATCAGTCCCATGAAAACCCAGATGGGTCTCAGTGGCAACTGTGTTGTGATTGGAGCCGTTTATCATGTTGTTATGCTGGCATTTGAGCAAAATTGTAATGTCAGCTCTGTGTCTGGTCAGGTGCGAGTCCGTGTCAGCAAGGCTGGATAGGCAGTGATTGATTCTTGTCTAGGAACATGGAACAATTAAATATTTTCACTGCTGTAGGCTAAAAACCACGTTGTTTTGTGTAGGAGAGTGAAGCAGTGCACAAAATGGCATCTTCCAATGGTGTTAGAGTCTGGATTGCGTTGCAATATCCTTTAAAGGTTAACGGGCCAAATCTCCAGCTGGTGTAAATATGAGTGGCATCATTAAGTGGAACACCACACACAAGCTGAATGTCTGGCCCTCTTAACTCTCACTTTTATGGTGAGGATATGATTATTGTCTCTAGTGATGGTTAGCGAGAGCACCAATTTGGATGCCTCTTGAGGCAAATACATAGGAATTGCCAGAGTGGATCAGAGCCAAGGTCCATCTAGACCAGCATCTGGTACAAGAACACTGCGGTAACCAATGTAGCATTATCCGTCCCATATTTGCTCTCATCCTGGTCCCTATCAGTTAGAGATTGGCATAAACCTGGAGCATATACCAGAGAGGGGAGTTCTCCAACGGGTTCTACAGACTGAGGTGTGATCTATAGGATGTTGTGCAGATCCAGGGTGTGTCCTTTGTGTCTGATGGGTGGCTGCTGCTGTGATCATTTCCATTGTCCTGTCTTCAACAGAATAGTGCTCCCGTTCAGGCTCTACCGCTGTATGCCACTGTTCACCAACTCATGCCGTCAGTTGCATAGCACAGGCATTCGTTACTGTAGGGTTCTGTAAGCATGCTACATTGTTATGGTACCAAAATGAATGCCGTAAGTCTTCAGAGGTGGCTTGACATGCCAGCTCCCTATATAACCCTACGTGCCTTAGAAACCTGCTGTTGTGGCATCAGGCTCTGGCTACCTTATTATCTCAGGGAAACAAAGGCTTTAACAAATGCAGAGAGAGAACAGTAGCAGAAATAATGCCCTGCTCCAGTACTTCCATCTGAGGACCTAACAGTGCTTCTCAAACACCATTCGACAGCCTCAGAGCCCCCAAAGCTCTGGATACAATAGCTGTGAGTGCAAGAGGGAGGTTTTTACTGCTTCTGATCATATACCACATTTCCTAATAGGGCGCCCACTCCCTTCTCCTCAGCCATGGATCCAGAGCCCCATAGAGCAGTGGTGCTCCCTACTTTACCCGTAATGGAATCTGTCTGCACACACGCATACACTCCATTACTGCACAGTTGGTTCAGCAGAGGAGCTTGGGCTGACCGCAGAGCTGGGGATGGCGGAGGAGCTGGGGCTAGAGGCAGAGTTGGCCTGGAGGCGGAGAGGGAATCAGGGCGGAGCTGTGGCTGGGAATGGAGCGGAGCAGGGGGCAGAGCTGCGGCTGGGGGCGGAGTAGAGTTGTGGCTGGAGCCAGAGCTGGGTTGGGGAAGGAGCAATGCTGGGTGGCACTCCCTCCCCGCCCCCCAGGAGGGCTCGCCCAGGCTTCACCGCATGCCCCCCCCAACCCTGACCATTCTCAGCCCCATAGTTTGGGGACCACTGCCATAGAGGGTTGTCTGGGAAGCCTGGCTGTTAGTGATGGAGAGGAGCACACACGGATGGCTACCCTGGGCACTGCCTCAATGAACAAAGGTGAGCTCCATGTGCGAAACGGGTTCCTCCGTCTATACTCCGGTCTCACTCTGGCCAACTCCTGTTCACTGCAAAGGGAATTAAGGGCTCATTTGCACATGCTGTTGCACCAGTTTAGAATATGGTGTAATTCTAAACAGATTTAATTAAATCAGTAAAAAGTCTGTGTGGACACTCTTATTTTGGTTTAATCCAGGCCTGCTTCGGTTTAGCTTAAGTTAATTAGGAACAGGTTGAAGACAAATGGCAATAAGCCTCTAAAATAAGAGTGTGCACACAGGGGTTTGCACCAGTTTCATGGAACCCATGCAAGTTTCTGTGTAGACAAGGTCTTAAGGATCTCAGGATTTGACCTGAGGGCTACATGTGTTTTTGCTGCTGCTGTTATTTTTGTGGTAAAACAGGGGAAATTATTTCATTTTATTTCATGCTGCCCATCAACCCTTATCAATAGTTACCACTAAGCACACGAAATAAGGGCAGTACCACACAGATGCTACTGTTTGGTACTTGTTCACCTGGTAATTCATAGATTCGTAGATTCCAAATTGTAATTATCTAGTCTGACCTCCTGTATAACACCGACCAGAGAACTTCCCCAAAATAATTCCTAGAGCAGATCGTTTGACTAAAATCTTGATTTAAAAATTGTCAGTAATGAAGTCTGCCAGTTCCAGTTAAAAATATATATCTTATTTCCAATCTGAATTTGTCTAGCTTCAACTTTCAGCCATTTGATCATGTTATACCTTTCCCTGCTAGATTGAAGATCCCATTATTAAATATTCGTTCCCCATGTAGATACTTATAGAGTATAACCAAGTCACGCCTAACCTTCTCTTTGTTAAGCTAAATAGATTGAACTAGAATGATGCTCACTGCTCTGTAGTGCATAACAGAGCAAAATTCTGCCTTCCTTGACAGCTCTGCAACCCCAGTGACATCAGGGGAGTTTTGAGAGTGGGAAGCAATAATAATGATGGAGAAATTGTCCTGTGTGTTCAAGTGGTATGTGGAGTTCTAATGAAAGGCTCCGAATTTGGGTTTGTAATTCAGCCTGAGCAGAGCTGTAGCTCCATCTTTTCTGTGGCTGACCCATGAAAATGGCAAAAAAGTGACATCATGTAACTTTAAGGCTGTAAAATAAAGCCATATGCTCTGAAAGCATGTGATTCATGACCACGGCGAAATGGACTGTGCCCAAGAAATGACTGCTTTATGCTCATTAAGATTGGTTGGGGAACTGGGTGCAAGAAGGTTCCTTGGATTTTCAAATCATTGTAATGAGAAGAAAAAATATCCTATATCTCAAAAACCTGTCCTAATATATACAAATATTTATGCTCTTCCAAGAGCTTTCAAATGTTCCCACTTTTTCTGTTCTGCGTTACACATGCAAAACATCCTCATAAACGGGTAATAAAAGCTAAAATAAAAAATACCTCTTCGAAAACATACACAGATATTTAAGGGCTGTTTTTTAATTAGAAGTGCCAACGTTTTCCTCTAGGGTTTCTGAAACCTTGGTTTCACCAACATGTGGGCATAATCAGGAAGTAACCACGTAGACAATCAAACATGGACCCAAACAACAGCATAGTCACAGAAGTGAGTAGGGAAATCAAGTCACCATGCACGGGAGATCCTTTTCCCACTGAAAGTAATGGCAGAACTCACTTTGAGTGTCCGTGGGAGCATGTTCGGGCCTCTAGTGTGGTGGGGTTTTTTGCCATGTCTTTGGTAATCTGAGACAAGAGGAAGTTCAGCAGAGAAATGTGTGCAGGGTTGTGATAACGCAGTATCCAGGGTTTTCTTGTCAGTGCTATTGGGTGCATGTAAATAGCTTCTGAGAAAGGACTGTGCTCACTGTTGTTTCAAGCACTTTACTATGGTATGCGCTCTGTATGGTATTACGGTATACGCCTTAGGGGCGTTTCTCCTGTGAGTGGTCACCCCAAGAAGAAAAAGTGGTTACTTACCAGTGATTGCAGTTCTTTGAGGCGGTTGCTTCTAGAGCTGTGCAGAAAGCCGGGGCTGTTGCAGGGGAATTGTCACCAGACGTTGCGTGTCTGAGGTTATATGAGAGAAGTGCCATCTACAGCCACTCAGTTCCTCCTCCTCCATGACTGTAGGTGGAGGAAGCTCCGCCATTCCCTCGCTGTCTGAAGTGCCAGGCTCCTAGCTAACCCTTTTTCATAACGTTCCCCAACACACACATATACACACACACATACACACAAACACACACACACACTTTTTTATTGTAGTGTTTTTAGTGGTTTAGAGTAGCTGTAGGATTGCAACTATCACACAGTGTCAATGTGCACTTGGGTCTCCAGTTAAAATCAGCTCAGTGCACGGTCCCTCCAGAGCCAGGAAATAGTGCCAGGGGAACCCCCTTTGCAGTGCAGAAGCAACCGGGCACAAATGTTTATACATATTTTTAAAGTAATTTTTTTGTTTTAAATGGATCCACTCAACATTTCCATGAGCTTGAGCAGGTGAAAGCCTCTTTGGCACAGGGCTGTCTGGCCCTGTCTTCAAGATCCACCGGCGACGGCAAGTGAAATGATGTTTGAGATTTGAGGCCTTTCCCAGAGGATGACCACAATGACGGCAGAGGTTTCTCTACAGGTTGGCAGGGCATGTTCAGACTCCCAGATACTTTGTTACAGTCGTACTGTTCCAAACCAGTCACTGCCGCTGTAATTATCATTGTACCTAACCTTGTTTCAAGAGAACAAACCATTGTGCACATGGACGTTTCCTTTCCACCTATAGACAAATGTTGTTGTACTAAGGCTGGGACACAATCGCTTGGAAACCTGGCCAGATGACACTTTTTCAGTACATTCCCCTGCCTTCATTGCTTTCATTCTTTCCTACTTAGGTGGTCTTAATTATCAGTGGGAACCTGAGCTTCCTCAACTGGTTAACCATAGTGCCCAGCATTGCCTGTTTTGATGACACCTGCTTGGGATTCCTGTTCAGTTCCAAAGAGGGATGTGTGAAGGACCAAGTGTTGAAGATACAAGCCAAACAGGCAGCAGGACAGAGACTTCCTTTGAGATACGGTAGGTCATTCCCGTGAGGAATAAAACCTTATCTGCCTAGTGCTCTTATCACTTTTATTCCAAGCACGGCCACTGGCCTGCTGGGTGAACTTGGGCAAGTCCCTTCACCGTTCTGTGCCTCAGTTTTTCCACCTGTAAAATAGGGATAATGATACCTCCCTTTGGAAAGCGCTTTATAGGAGCTAGGTCTTATTATTATGTATGCAGGGGAAGGGAAGTATCTTTGTGTGACAATTCCCTAGTGGGATCATCCACACTGAAGGACTTCTGGATCTTAAAACCTAAGCCTCTGCTACTTCCACTAAAGAACCATTAGCACAGAGGTAGGAGCTGACTTATACACTTCTATCCTCCAGCTACATGGGGGGATACTTACATGGTGTTAGTGCGGGTTGTATTTGCTTATAGAAAAATAAGCCTCTAAAGCTAAAATTCTGATATCGTTGCTCCTGGTGGGTGGCACCTTGTTACATTGACTTCAGTGGGAGTATTTTAAGGTACTATTCAGCATGAGGAAAAGCATCAGATATATCAAATTAAGCAATATATAGGTAGAAAACTTGCCTCCATTGAAGTCAATAACAACACTCCCATTGATGTCCATGGGACCAGAATTTCAATGGTTTTTTTGTTGTTGTTTAAACGAGGAAAACCTTTTTCACATTTATCACACTTGCAGTTTTGCAGCATTTGCCACTGACACGATGGACATAATAGCTCTGTCCAGATGTCTTTAGACTATTTGGGAGTCGTCATTGTTCTAACATAAGCAGAACGTTTTGATTCTGGAATTAAATCAGTAATTTAATGTGGTGCCAAACCAAAAAAAGAGCAGGGGGAGGGCATAAAATCGTCTCACAAATTTTAAGGAGTGGGGCTATCAGACTTTGTCAAGAATGCTGGGCTTGTTCGAGCATCAAGAACTTGGCTGTCAAATTGCCCTGGGCATATAGTTTGGCCTACAGGTATAGCATGAAAAAGTCAATAGAAGTTTTGTTAAGCTGAATAAAAAAGGAACAATGAAGCATGTGGCTAATGTACACTGCTAAGATTTAAAAAAAATAAAATCATATCCCCAAAGAGAACTGATAGCGCAGAGAGAAGGGGGATTTACTTATCTGGGTAACAGATGTAGAACTGTTTCTAGGATTTGTATAAACAATATGTAAGCAACAAATTGAACGTCATATCAACATCAGTTACAGATGCTAGTTTTTAAATATACCAAACATCCATCAGAAAGACAAAAACATGTTTACAAAATAAAATGCCTGCCTATAGTTCTTTCGAAGCTAGCCCGATCCACCTCAGATTATGCCGTTTATTAAACAGAAGTGTTTAGTTTCAGTAATGCTCATTATATTTCATTACACTATGTATTTATTTTAAATATTTTACTAGAAGAAATCTCTTTTAGTTGCAGCATTTAAATTCCAAGTCGCTTTCCGGCAGGGCTGGTAAATCCAGTGATTGGAGTGATGCTAGAGATCTCCTATTGAGTTGTGTTTTTCAGTCACTCTGAGCAAACCTATGCCTGTCTTGTTGGAGAAGAGACAGAAAAATGGTTCTTCAATTTACCAATCTGTGAATCATTTTGAGAATGAGAGAGATCCTCTTATGACTCAACTTCCTAAATTTACTCCATGATATTCTCTGACGGGTCCACGCAGACCACAAGTTAAGGGTTACTTAGAAGAACCTCCCATACTTGCTACAAACTTGGGTTCAATCCCAGCTTAAATCCATCCCTGTTCCAGAAAGCGCTTATGCACATGCTGAGTAATAATGCATTGCTGAGTCGGTGCCTTGGACAGGAGGGCCATGTAGCAAAAGTCCTAGAGGAACGTTAATCCCAAGAGTCAGAAGAATGGAGTGTGTGGCATTTTATGCCCCTTTTGTTCTTGTGAAGGTTTTTATAAGGAGCCTGTCACATGGGACCAGATATTCACGGCACCAACTCCCGTTGATTTCAATGAGACTTAAGTGCCTAAGTACCGTTAAGGATCTGCGCCTTGGTATCTAAGGGCCTGATCCAAGTCTCACTGAAGTCAATGGCAAGATTCCCATTAATTGGGCTGCAAAGCAGACCCTGCACCTCTTCCGCCAGTTTCACTCCTTTCTGTTGCCATTCTCCACATGGATTATACTGTAACTGTGGTTGAGGGTCAGATCGGTGCAACTCGGAGGGCATGGTTATGATGTACACAGTTCTGTAGGTGTCTGTGGTGCTTTATAGCCATGCAAGAAGAGACGACCTGTGGCCCCAATGAGGTGACTATCAAAGGGCCAGATCCTACGTTCACCCAGTTAGTGGCAGAGGAGTCCAAGTAGGGTGACCAGATGTCCCGATATAGGGACAGTCCTGATATTTGGGGCTTTTTCTTATATAGTCGCCAATTACCCCCCACCCCCGGTCCCGATTTTTCACACTTGCTCTCTGGTCACCCTCAGTCCGAGAAGCAGGGATATGCAGAATCAGGCCTATATTTAGACAGCATCCAGACAAATGGTGACCTGGGGAGCACCAACATTCACAATAAAACTTTGCAGTCATTGGTGTTCGTACCTGATTTGTTTTTTTCCTTACAGGCTAGAAGCCTCAGGCCATCTGAAGGACAAAACAAATTCCCTGAGCAACTTACGTATTGCTTTGCCTGATCACAGAGGCAGCCCTGCTGCGATGCAGGGGGCTGGGTTAGATAACCCACCCGAATCAAGCGATTCTCCAAAAATATTCCCAGACTAAACAATTATTCATACTACATGAGAAGTTTAAATAACCCTCCCGCTCCTGCAGAGATAGGAGGAAAGCTACGTGCATTTGCTTTGAGTTTTCTCCTTTAAATTAAAAATCATCATAAGCACAAAAACCCTTCAGAGGCTGCCTTAGCTTATTTGTCTGATTCTCTGTCGACTGAAATACCTCATTTTATCCAGTACAACACCAGTCTCGTTTGCCGTGTCCTTCATGCAAGCCATATTCCAAAGCACTTTGCAACATAAAATAATGCAATTCTGAAGTTGAAATAATAAGTGGTAGCCAAAGGAAAGAGAAGTGTACAGAGGCACTAGCCAGGGAAGAGATGAGAATCAAAGAGAGGAGTTGTGTCAATGGCAGGGAGATTCAGAAAAGCAAATTCCAGTGGTAAGAGCTGTGGAGGAGTGGTCTCTCTTCCACCAGTGGTGAGGAAGGACAAAGAAAAGGCTGGTGTTAGGAACCATGATGGGGAATAGAGAGGGTTTAAAATCAGCTAGAGAGTCCATGGAGAGTCTTAAAAACAAGGAGGGCAATTTTGAACAATGTCTAAATGCCAGCTGTGGTTTTTTCCTACACTAAAACTGTTATTACTCGAACATTTTAGACATTTTTCTTTTCAGCCCCTTCTCAGACTATTTAGAGAAAGGCAGATCTTTGGAGAGAGATTTCATGGCCTACTGGCGAGGATTTGTTTGATTACGTGTAAGAATTCATCCACTTTAGCTTGAAAGGGAGCTGACACCAACTGTTAGCAGCCCTCTGAAATTGCCTGTCAGGTGACCTGAAAGGATTGTAGGGGAAAAAAACTATCTTCTTAGAAACAGGGTCTGAACTGATCATGAGCAACTTCAGACAGTGAAGTCACTTCCTTTCTGGTTCTGTTTGTGTTCTAACCAGGCTGCTATGTCCGCAAAGTGGTGAACGTCTCATTTGGACTCCTGATCACCTATCTCAGTATACCTGTCGTTCTCAACCTGCTTAATTCCAGACAAGTCATGAACACCTCATTCAACCCGCTCAGGATAGTAAACACGTACGGCGCTTTTGGAAGGTACTAATCATTTGAATAGACCCACAGTACACCTGCTCTGTTCTGTTCTCCTATCAACATCATGAAATATAGTCAATTAGCCAGTCTTTGTGTCTTATACATTTTTTTTTAATCCTTCTGGTAGCTGATCGGTTCAGAGTAGCCGTTCATTCGGGATGGGGGGGAAAGGGTGTGCTTGAAAGGGATCACAAAATCCTCTCCTACTGTATTATAATTTATTTGACTATAGTTTTGCTTTAAATTTATAACTGTTCTTAAGGGGCACAATATATTAGATATAAAAACATTATGATAATATGCATAGAAGGTAGAGAGTCATATGGGTCATATTTAGAGTGATTTTTTTTCTCTCTATTGTGTGTGTGTGTGTGTTCCTCCCTCCCTCCCTCTAGTTGGAAAAATCTCCTCCATGAACCTGCCTTGCCTTTCTGCTCTGGCAGGAGGAAAGTCATAAGGATGCCTGTAGCAGGGGTGACGAATCACTGGCGCAGTGCCTCCTGCTGGTTGTCTCGGGAATTAGCTCTCCAGCTCCGGAGCGCCCTCTGCTGGCCGATGTCCCACTTGCCGCTGGCCCCCATGTTCCTCCCAGACCCCGGTGCCCCTTCCCTCGGGGTTCTGCCCTCTACAGTACCCCCACAGTCTCTGTGTCTCCCCTCCCAGGGGAATCCCCCCCAACCCTCTATCCCCACCTTGCCTCAGTGGTTACTGCCAGTCATCATCTAGCCCCCGCTCACTGGGGCGGACTGCAGTCTGTAATCCACTCATCACTGGCAAGGGGGGTTTGGACCTGCTGGTTTTGCCTAACCCTGGGCTGCACCTCTGCAACCCCAGTACCTCCGTAGGCCTTCAGCAAGGCCTGCCACCTGGGGTATTGCCAGGCTGGAGCTCCCCAGCTCCTTTTCCTTTCCCCAGCCCTGCTCTATCTCAGGGACCCTGCTCAGATCCCAGGCAGCCAGGTCCTTCTCTCTCCTACAGCCTCTGGCCCTCACCCCTCTTATAGGGCCAGCTGTGGCCTGATTGGGGCCTGGCCCCAACTGTGGCTGCTTCCCCCAATCAGCTGAGCTTTTCCCCACCACAGCCCTCTCCCGGGCCTGTTTTAAGCCCTTCAGGGCAGGAGCGGGGTGACGACCCTGCTACAATGCCCCTGAAAAAGAACCTTCTGCGTGATAGCATACAGAGTTCTGCATTAGGTGGTTGGGCCACCGTATTGTAGTCATACTAGCTATCTCTGCAAGTGTCCACATAGGCTAAATACTTATCACTGCTTTCAATTGCATAGGATTTGTTCCTCTATCTAACAGTTGGAAACTGGCTGGTTTTGCGGTAACACCAGAGGGGTAGGGAAGGAGAAGATCCTCAACATAGCATGTGCAGTCTGTTGTTGTTGCTTTGGTATTACGACAGCGTGCAGGGGCCGATTGCTGATGAGGCCCCATTGTGCTAGGCTAGAGTAAGAGACATTCCCTGCTTTGAAGACCTTGTAATCTGAATAGACAAGACAGAGAAAGGGGAGAGAAAGGGGTATAAAATAGAAGCAGAGCGATGGTTTACAGACAACATGTTAGTTCCCCAGTTTTTGTGCTTGCAGCCAGGTCGGGCTGATGCGGGAGAGGGTGTGTTTAGGTGCCCGCAGCACACCCATTGTGAGATCTGCGTGCCTGCTAGTTCCTCTTGATCAGATATTGAGCTGTTTAGAATTTAATCTGTATCTCCTGAGGATGTTGCGGGGAGGAAGTAGAACTGGAGGACCGGGAGTTCGATCATCCTACCAGCTGTGTGCGCAATTCCGACTGAAGTCAATATGAGCTGTAGCCAGGCAGTTGATGGAAGGACTGGGCTCAAGCCTTTTAACCCAGTTGGAGGATCTGAGGGAATCCTGATGAAACTCCATAGTTAGACCTCTGCTTCTGCCAGCCGCAGGCCCACACTGTGCTGACCATGAGATGTTCTCTGGAGCAGGGTTTCTCAACCCATGGGTTGGGACCCAAAACTGGGTGGCCAGAATGTTTCAAAGGGTCGCATGGCAGCTCCTGTCCCACGGGACTGGCTGGGCTCATCTCCCTGCTCCAGGCACTGCGACCTCTGGGGTCCCAGCACCACTCAGGTTGGGCCCAGCCGTCATGATAAGGGGAGTCTGGGTAGGCCAAACTTGAGTGAGTGGCACTGCAACCCCATGAGCCAGGTCACAGCTCCACTCACACAGATTTGGTCCAGTCAGGGAGGCGGTAGGTTGCAATGCCCAGGGCGGAGAGCCAAGCCCAGCTAGCCCCACGGCACAGGAGCTGCAGAAGCCACCACGGTGGGGTGAATGCTGGGCAGGATCCGACTGAAACCAACCCAGGGCCTCCGGCCCCAGACTGTGTAGTGGATCGTGATAGGTCGTAAACATTTACAAATAGGTCCTGAGCCCAAAAAGGTTGAGAACCACTGCTCTAGAGGCCTGAGCCAAAGGATGGAAATGGCTCCCATTGATTTCAGTGGGTTGTGGATCGTACCCCAGAAAACAGCCAACTGTTATCAAAGGGGCATTATACAAAGAGGGATCTGATTGGCTGCTGAAGATTCTGGCTTAGCAGGTACCCAGTGTAACTACCCAGGTGTGTTAGGTCCTTGTTACAAAAATGTAACCTTTGTAAAAGCCATGTCACGCCGTGAGCGGTAGAACTACGCAGCAAGCCCATAGTCACACTGGGCTTTGAAATGATCTTTTACCCACCTCTCAAACAAGCAGACATTTCTATTCAGCCTCTGCAGAAAGGGAAGCTTTGAACAAACACGATAAAAAACAAACCTCCGCATTTTAAAACATAGATGTGTTTTGCGTGACATGTGAAAGCCCTGTTTTGGAGGAGGATTGGTGGGGGCAGGGTAGGAGTGGTGAGAACAGCGTTGTATTAATCCTTGCACCTCTTAGAGTGGTGGAGTCTTGGAATTATGGGAGTTTGTTGTATTTGGGTTGTTGTTTTTCTTTTTCCTCTTCAGTCTAAGGTTCTTGTTTCAACAGTTACCAGAACCGAAAGAGCATGTGATGAAATGCTGCTGTAATATGTTTGTAATTCCACCCTATGTAAACCAATAAAAAGAGGATTGCAGCTCATAATGAATATACGATTATGTGAAACTTGACATATTTTGAATCACACAGTAGGAACCTACTTTTATTAGTAATTTGGTGTCCCTGATTTACAGTGTGTTTCTAACCATTGGGCAGCTAGCCACGGCTCATAACTCAGCCGAAGGTATCGTATGGGACTTGGCTGAAGAGTCCAGAAATCTATTAAATGCAGGTAACAATTATAAGTTGAGATGAATGGCAGTCCATTAGTTGCAAGGGTCCATCACTGGAAATAAGCAAAGGGGGAGGGAATGGCTGGTCTGAGCTTTCAGTTTCTTGGGTTGGTGGTGGAAAGACCAAGAGAGGACGGAATTAGGGGAGGAGTTTTGGACCAGTTTGATAGCTAGAATGATGCTGTTATGCAGACACCGTGGCAAACAGAGCGCTCCATTGTAGAGCAGCGTCACTGACAGATCTTTGGAAAAAAGCCCTTGCGGAATGGATTTCGACATGGGCGCCTCGCTGTAGATCTTTTGTGGCGTGGTGCTTGCACTCCGCATTGTCCGATTGCCTTGCTGTTTGGAGGCTGGCAAATCAGAAGACTTAGGTCTGTGTGTGACCTGCCATAAGGCTGGGGTGGTTTTTATATGTCTAATTAGGTACAGCCAGCTTGTTTTTCCTTTTCTGTTTCTCTTGGCTTCAGTTGTGATGGCTCACACGCCGCCCTCCCCTGCTCGGCTGCTGAGCAATGGCTCCGTGAGACTTCTCCTCCAGCTGGGATGGCGAAACGCTTGGGCACTTTCAGACAGTTGTTAATGGTGCCCCAGGAGTAATCTGCTAGGGGGTGCTCCATATGGGGTGGGTTGTATATGCCAGCTGGCTGCCACATTCTAGAGCAGACATAACCAATTAACCTGGACGCGCTGTACGTGTATCCTGCCCATTGCCACGGCCGAGGCTCAGCCTGGAACTCTAATGCTCCGTGACTGCAGCTCTACTAAGTGAACCCGAAGGAAGCCAGCCCGGTAAGGGCTGTGCTGAGCTCGTCCCAGCTGGAAGCGTCTCTGCTGATCCTGCAGATGGAGTCACATGAAATTGCATGTGCAGATACCAGAGTCGGGGGGTGCCATCAGGGCACCACACGCGCAGATGACACGCATGCATTTTTGCACATAGGTCGTCACGAAAATCTGAGTTACTGTGGATCACTTTTGTGATTGACCGAATCTCCACTGTCCCACACGAGTCGTGCGGTCACACAGCTAAGCCTTGCACGCCACAGGGTGTGCTGCCATTAGACTGTCAGAATGCCTGAGATAAAGGGATGTGCTGGAAACCAAGTAGGGGGAGAGGCTGATCTCGTGGTTAGGACGCCAGTCTAGGACTTGAGAGACCTGGATTGAATTCCCTGCTCTGCCTTGTGTGATCTTGGGCAAGTCTTTTAGTCTCTGTATGCCTCGATTCCCCAGCCATAGAATGGGGATAGTAGCACTGCCCTACGTCACCCGATCGCCCACAGGCCCAACAAGTCAGCCGCCGCCTGGGTTTCTTCACCCGGCGAGCTGTCCCTCCGGGTCTGGGTTCCCACAGCTACTGTCTCCACCACCGTCTGGGTCCCGGCTTCCTGCAGGGCCCCCTCCGTCTGGGTCTCTCTCTCTCAGTAACTGGCTCGGTGACGGGCTGGGTTCCAGCCTTTTGTGGGGTCAGTCCCAGTCACCACCTCTGCCACGTTTGGTCCCACCGGGCCTACCGGCACCTCTTCCTGCCACCCCTCAGTCCCTCTGAGGGGGCAGTGCCTCTTTAGATGGCCCAGTTCCCGGCAGCCCCAGCAGGCTTCCCTGCTCTAACTGCTTCCCGCCTCTGGGCTGCCCGGGACTTCCTATGGTCCAACTGGGGTCCCGTCCCCTTGCCAGGACTGACGTGGACCTCTTGCGTTGGGCCTGGGCATATCCTCCAGTGGTTCTCAAACTTTTGTACTGGTGACCCCTTTCACACAGCAAGTCTCTGAGTACGACCCCCCCCTTATACATTAAAAACACTTTTTTTATGTTTAACACCATTATAAATGCTGGAGGTGAAGCGGGGTTTGGGGTGGAGGCTGACAGCTTGCGACCCCTCCACGTAATAACCTCATGAGGGGTCCTGACCCCCGCGTTTGAGAACCCCTGGGATAAACACATTAAAGATGGTGAGGTCCTTAGGTGCGGTGGTAAGGGGGAATCCATAGAAGTACCTTCCATCGATTGGTTCTCAGCCGCTTGTCAGAATCAAAATGTTAAGCTGCTACCACATTTCACCTTAGCCGAAAAGCCAAAGGCAGGTTAAAAGAAATTTTAGGCTAACGGGGCAGTTCCTTGCTGGCTGTCAGTATTTAGGATTTGGCACAGCCTGAGAAAATAACAACGCAATGATTATTTCCCACAGCATTACTAAGGAACGAACTGAGATCATCTTCCAAGGTACCTCCAGCCTGGACCCCAATGATCCCATGGCGGTTTGGGAGGAGTATGAATTTAAATGTAAGCCTGGGGATTTGAAGAGGAGGCCGTGCCTTATAACACCATACCACTATCGTCTGGACTGGCTCATGTGGTTTGCTGCATTCCAGGTATGTACCTTATATGCCCTGAGGTTTGTGTGTTCTCTGGCCCAGAAAGAACAACGGAAGGCCAGAGAACAAGCAACATGAAACTGCTGTGCCCCTTGAGTAGACCACTACATCAACAAATGCTTGTTTCAGGTGATGTTGTAGTTGGTGGTGGTTAAACTATAGAAATAGGATCACACCTTGCTCTTATAAAGAGACCCTTTTCAGCTGAGGATCTCAAAGTAACAATACTCCTGTGCATATAAAGTAGTTACCGTATATACTCGATCATAAGCCGGTTCGTTTATAAGCCGACCCCCCAAGATGGATAAGTAAAAATGGAAATTTTTTATAATCCGTTCATAAGCCGACCCTATAATTCAGGGGTCAGCAAACTTTGGCTCCCAGTCCATCAGGATAAGCCGCTGGTGGGCCGAGATGGTTTATTTACCTCGAGCGTCTGCAGACACGGAGGTAAACCTAAGTAAACAAAGTGTCCTGGCATGCCAGCTGCTTACCCTGACGGGCCGGGACAGCAACTGGTGGGGAAATTTTTTGGGGGGAGAAGCTGGGAGTCAGGGGAGTAACCCCTGTGACCACCCCCCACATGACCCCGCCCCTAGCCCGGGACCCCCACACTCTCCCCATCCCATCCCTTCCCATCTTATCAGGGGAGGATGTCTCTGACCTGGCTGGAGCTGCTCCGGCAGGCTGGGCAGAGCGGCCGCAGCCTGCTCCGGCGGGCCAGACCAGGCGGCGCGGCCACAGCATGTTTTACAGATAGTATGCTTACAGAGCTCACTTCTCCCATCACTGAAATGCACCCACCTCTGGGGTGGAACACTACAGCTCACAGGAACACTTCACAGCACTTTAGGACAGTGAAGAAGGATGCTTTATGCAGTTGGAAGTGCAGGGGGAATGTAGGTAGGTAGAATGTGATTGCTCAGTTTGGAGCTTTGTCAGAACAAATGGGCTCTGTCTTTAATTTCCTGAATAGGTGAGCACTTCAGTGATTACAAAGAATATACAGTATCTACTGTGGATTTATTGCACATTCACAGGGGAGAAAAAATATGTGAAGCCCTAGTTTGAATTTCTATTTAAAAATAGCTTTCCAGCTTGTTTCTCGCAAATTAGAATAAATTAGCAACACATACGGCTAAAGTCACTCAATAGTTGTTTTTGTGACCAGGAGGAGAGGTACCTCCAACCAAAATATTGTGCGTCCATCCCTCAAGGAATGTATGTACGTGTCAATAAAGGATCACTTTTTAAAATTAAATGGAAAAAATGAATGTGGTTGAATAGGGGTTTAAGCTCAGTGGTGAATATGGCTCAGTTTTAGGTAAAAAAAAAAATTTCTCCGAAACACTAATTGTAAAAACACTTTGAACTTATATAGGTAGTGATTTTCACCCAAAGATTTCCCAGTGCGTTACAAACGTTGGCAAGTATCATTACTTTTACTATAAAAATGGGGAAACTGAGGCACAGAAAGGTTCCGTGATTTGCCCAAGCGCACACAATGAGTCAGTGGAAGTCAGGTCTAGAACCAAGTTTTACCATTCCGAGTTACCTGCTCTAACTGCTAGACTCTAGTGTCTCCTTTCTGTCAACCCTTTGAGACTAAATCTTGTGTTCCTCCCTCAGTGGCAACCCAGGCAGTTGGTTTCGTTGGGAGTTTTGCTGAGTAAGGACTTCAGAATTTGTCCAAATATCTTTTCCCCCACATGTCACCTGCAAACAGATGGGTGGGTTTTTTTAGTGGGGAAACTTGCAGAATTGTTTCTCAAGCCTTTTTATTCTTTTCTTCAGTCTTCTTTACATTCCCATTAAAATTTACAACAGAAGTTACAAAATCAAAGCTTGTGAACAATTACATAACATGAACCCACCCCAGAATATTTTATTATAGACATTTTCCTTCATCTTCTTGACTCTCCTCTGCCTCCTTCTCTCTCCTCCCCCCCATTTTCTGTCTTTGTGGTATTTTCATTTAGGCACCTTTTAGATTCTTCAGCAATGACATAAGCATCTCTCTCTGGCTATGGTTTTATATTTACCCCTCAAGTTTTTGTGTGCTGGAATTTCATTTAATCTGCATTAGGTATGCTTATCTCTCAGCAAGAAGACAGCAAAGGTTCAAACTCAAGCCAGTGCATAGCATTAAATGAAGATGCAGTGGGTTGAATGGAAGCGGTTGGTTGAAATCTCATTGTATTGTGGAAGGTTTTGAGGGTAGGAGAGAGAAACAGCGCTGAGATGAGAGAATGGCCGTTTCTTTCCAAGACAGGACTATCCCTATGGTTTTAAAATACAAAGTGTTCTCAGGTTTGAAAACAAGCGAGGACGGGGCATAGATACTAGTGCATTGTTCGCAAGTGTTGGCAGTGATGGTGTTGAATGACACTGTTACACACAAGTTAGATCTTTCAGCAGACATAGACCTGGCATGTTGAGTGACACTGATATATGTGAACAGCTTGGGGGAGGAGCAGGAGAAAGAATTAAAGCAGGCCCATTTACATCTCTTCCTTTTAATTCAATAAAAGGTCCCCAAGGTGTGTCTCTTACGCTGCCACACATGGGGCTACAGTTGTATTTGTGCATTCAAAGCTCTATAGTCACACATGTCAATTAATTACACCTCCACTAATTAAACTTGATGATTCCCCCATTGGCAGTAGGGACATGAACCAGTGGGTAAATGCCTACTGGTCAGTGTGTGTTTGTGTGTCCCCCCCCCCCCCCCGCCCCCTTCTATGCCTGATCCACAGAAAGTGTAAGTTTATTACAACCCCCAGCTACCAAGCCAGGCTCGTTAGCTCAAACTGTGGAGACTTCTGCTTTCAGCTCTGGAGCCCCTGATTGAGCCTCTGCTCTCAGCTAAAATGGCAGCTGTCACACATCCATCGGTTTCCCCAGTGTCCCGTAGCTGGGAGCAGAACCCCGGAGTCTCTGTTGTCACCATCTCTGGGTGCATTAAAGTGCCCAGTGGAGGATGCTGGTAACTGCCCAGAGTTTTCCATTTCAGTTGCTGCTGCATCTCCTTAGACCTGACTAGAATTTTCCGGCTGAATTGCAGGGTTCCGAGTGAAGTAACCGTATTGCAACTGGGCTGACACTTTGGCCTGGTCTACACTACGACTTTAATTCGGATTTAGCTGCGTTAATCCGAATTAACCCTTCACCCGTCCACACTACAGAGCCAGTTAATTCGAATTAAAGGGCACTTAAAATCGATTTCTGTACTCCACCTCGACGAGCGGAGTAGCGCCAAAATCGATTTTGTTAATTCGAATTAGGGTTAGTGTGGCCGCACACCACCGAATTAATGTGGTTAAATTAATGGGGTAGTGTGGCCGCACACCACCGAATTAATGTGGTTAAAAACCGAATTAATGTGCTTAGTGTGGCCGCGCACAATCGAATTTATACAACCTGTTTCCCAAATTCGAATTATCTAAATTCGGATTAATCCCGTAGTGTAGACATACCCTTTGTAGAAGCTGAGTCATGGTCCACCTTCCCCAGCAATCCCAGCCTGCCTTTCTGCTACCCCTGCTGGTTGCTTCCACGATACTCCTTCTGCCACTCTATATTGTGGGGGAAAAGTGGGCTGTCAGTGGAAAAAATGGTCTGCATGAAGTGGGTTCAGATTCTGCTTAGAACAAACATTGACAAAATGGGTAGAAAGAAAGGGGAAAAAAAAAACATACCCAGCAAAGAAACAGGGTGAAAAATGGAGAAGGAGCAGGGTGAAAAATATCATCACAAATAATGTAAATGCAGCGGCAAACATTTTCATATATGGATGCCCAAAGTTAGGCACCTGTATATATAGAGTTCGGTAGTTAAATCTGTAGTTTGATTTTTTTCAAAGGCCCTGAACACCCACAGCAAAGTTAAAGGTGGATGTAGAACCCAGAGGTTCTGGCTATAAGAATCTGCAGGCTTAGGACTGGAGACTGTAGACTCTGAGGTAGACACTGCTTCCTTATGGCCACTAGGGGCCTAGGCAGGGCTGCCACCAAAAAGTACCGAGAGGCTAAGACCTGGAGCAAGTCCAACCCTAAGGGGGCATGAATGACAGACCTTTGTGATTCCCTGATTGGCTGGCACTCTCCATATAAACCCGGAAGCCATTTCTGGGAGTTGCCTGAGCAATGCAGACCTCTGGTGTGCTTCTGCCGCAGACTCTTCCTTGCTGTGACTTGCCTGAATCCCAGACTCTCAGCCTTCTGACCCTGATCTTGTTTTACTGTCGTTGGCTTAGAATCATTGCTGGCCTTGGGGCAAGACCTTAGCCCAGCCTGACTCCTATTCTTGCCACATACTCTCAATCTGATAGCAGACTCTGATTCTGTGGTTTTTACCTGGCCTGGCCCTGGACTGATCTTCAACTCTTCCATCCAGATGTCGAGCAGCTCACCCCATTCCTACAGGCTGCCCATGATGTAGCCCTGACACTGACTCTAAGTTCCCTGCTCAGAACAAATGACGTTTCTGGCAGCACCTCTGAAAATTAGACCACTTATTTCTGGTCTATATTGAAATAGTGGCATAATTATGTTGGTTAGGGGGTTGAAAAAAAACTATATCCCTGACAGATGTTGCTATGCCAACATAAAGGCCAGTGTAGACGCAACTATGTTGTTGGAAGAGGGCTTCTGAGGACATAGCTAACTTTGTTTAGGGAAAAGAACAAGGAGTACTTGTGGCACCGTAGGGACTAACATTTATTTGGGCATAAGCTTTTGTGGGCTAAAGCCCACTTCATCAGATGCATGCTGTGGAAAATACAGTAGGAAGATAGATAGATAGATATAGATATACAGAGAACATGAAAAAATGGAGATTGCCATACCAACTCTAACTAATCAATTAAGGTGGGGTATTATCAACAGGAGAAAAAAAACTTTTGTAGTGATAATCAGGATGGCCCATTTCAAACAGTTGATAAGAAGGGTAGAGTAACAGTGAGTAACAGTAGGGGGGGAATTAGCATGGGGAAGTAG